TTCCCTATTCTAATAGGATTTTCTTTTGTAAAAGAAATTTTTCATGAATTCACAAACTATGCATTGATGGAAGCATTTGTTAAGACAAAATGTGAAAGTAATAGATATGGTTCTGGTTTTCTGGTTTAATTTTTAATTTTAATTTGGACTCTTGTCTCCCTACTCAGCAGTCATGGCTTTTTTTGCCACCACACAACTGCTAGTCACCACCATGGTGTCAGTTAAATTAAAGGCACGGATTTTTAGCATAGCTTTGCTCAAGGCAAGGTTGGGCTATAGGCCTCATGGCCAGCAATCTGTAAGTCAAACAGCTCTGCTAAGTTAAATAACAGCTCTATTTGGGGGAGGCAGGGGGTGGTTTCTGCTTACTACCTTTTATGAATTCAGAACTGTTAATTTCCAGTTGTCCTCCATATCCCTCCTCTTTTATCTCTATGTCTACATTCAAATCGTATCATGTAAGTCAGATGTCCCATGCCACAGGCAATAACTGTCTATTTAGAACACAGTTAAAACTTTCATTCATACATTCAGTTTTCAATATTTCAGAAGACCAAAAACCCCGCAAACAATACAAAAACAAAGTTTTGCATTTAGACATTCATAGCTGAATTTAGATATTGCATAACATACCCAGTATTTTCTCTAAATTAAAATCCACTGGCAAAGACAGTACTGTCTGGCAAGCAGCTGCAATGAATAAAACCAACAAAATTAGTTCACAGTAATCTTTTACTAAAACTGTAGAAACAAAAGTTCACTTTTAAACTGCACTGCAATTGAGCTATTCAAGTTACAGTTGCAGTAAGGAAAAGTGTTAATTCAAGTTAGGATTCTGATTTGACAACACTATATGCAGTAGAATCAGGCCTTGAGACAAAAACAACCCAAGAGTTGTAACATAAAAGCCTTTAGAGAGGCATCCTTAACTGAGGAGAGAGGTCTCTGAAGACAAGAAGGATTCAAAAGGAAATGGGAGAAAGATCATTAAAATACCCTGGGGAAAAACCACTACCTACTATTCTAAAATGAAACAGCAGAAATCTTAAGACATCTTTTAAACTATTTATTTGGCAGAGAAAATAAAAAAATATTCTCTAACCCAAAACGTTTCAACACATTAAAGGTTTCCTGAAACAGTCATTTACCCATAAACCTGAGGCTTATGTTCACTTTTTTATTCAGAAAAAGTGCATAAAAATGCACTCTACAGAGGACTTCATTTTTCACTTCTGAAAAAAATATGGGAGTATAATAGAATTAAATTACTGTGAAAAATGGATATTAAATTTCATAGTACCATACAATCCAAGGAAAATTATTTCTACATTATATTAACCAAAAAAATCATTCCCCTTTGAAGTTAAATAGCCATTTAAAAACCAGGTTATTTTGCTTCAGAGAAAGCCTGTCACTTCAGACACTGCCTTTTACCCACCATTACTTTTCCCAGGCTGCAAAGTTAGCTGTCTTCCAATTGGAGAAATGTTACTTAGATCTATGGCTGTAAAACAGAGAAGAACTTGAATTTGAGTATGCATTGCATACAGTTTTGAAACCTAGCAGCAGTAAGTTAGAATATTTAATACAACTGAACAGAATCTTTGCATCAAAGTTTGGTAAAGATTAGAAAAAAGTACTGAAGAAAGGTTACTATTAGAGTAGATCAAAAGATTTTCAGCACCTCTCTATTCAAAAATAGCTTAGTGAAGTAGCATCAGCTTTCCCCACATCTTTGCCTCCTGCAGTTTCCTCTACATTAGAGAGATGTAAAGCAAACTCAGTTTATGCTTAGCCAAACAGGCTGTGTTCAAGTAAAACACATTTCCAGAAGTCTGGACTTGAGGACAAAGGTGAAACATCTACCACTTCCCCCTTTTTATACAGCTAAGAAACACATTAGACCATTTTCTTTCACCACTTGCTTTCCCAGGTCTAGGATTGTGGCTTATGTTTTCTGCCCAAGAAGAGATGATCTTACAGATGACAGTTAAAAATACACTACCGACAAGCTGCATCTCCTGATAAAATATTTTAACAGTTTAGCCTCTTCCAAGTCTTGCAAAAAATCCCCAAACACTTAAATAATTTCCTACCAAACAGTACTGAAAGCAAACACTTTTTATAGCTGATGTTTGTCCAGCTTGTAATCCATTTACTATGTGTTCTGTTGGTTATACATATAAACTTTAATAACAACAGCATTAATAAGAAAATCTAATAATTATACAAACAAAAGAAACATAGAAAAGCCACAACCCTACACGCAGTGACAGTGAGCTGGCAGGACACTAAGAGGACAACAGGAATTTATGTAGCAAGCAAGGGTAGAAACATATGGAACCAAGTTTCCCATATACTTGTCTTGGCAGGAAAGCAGTCAGAATAAGTCAGATGTGCAGATATCAAAAGGAAAGAGCAAAGTAGAAGACTTGGCTATTAGCACCATCGACACAGCAAAGTTGTGTGTGTAAATTAAACTGCTTGAAGACAGGTTATGAAAAGAAGATTTAAGAACGGGTACCAAAATAACAAAAATGAAAAGCTATATAAGATTCTAGAGTAATAAGTGATTTCTAAATGAAGAAAGCACATGGAAAGAACAGCTAAAATCTATCAGTTGTGCCATCTTTTATCGTTAGCTCTTAAAATTTCAACTGAGGTTGAAAAATGCTTGTTAATTTATCCAAAAACCAGGTAATTTTGGGTGGACACACAAAAGCAACTTACATTTAGTTGAATTAAACTGAGAAACTTGCTTGCCTTCATGTTCAGTCCAAGGAGAAGGCACTATGAGTCTTTTTGTGAAAAACTAGAGTAGAATAGAAACAAACCATCTTAGCACTTCTAAAAATTGGCAATGCTCAAATTTAGATTAGGACCCTGAACAAGAACAATTTAAGTCATACCTTCTGCTACTCACAGATCTGTATTTTAAGAATTTTAATGCTTCCTTCTTGAAAACATGTAGTCACCCCTTACACCCAAAATATATTTCATTATTTAAGGCCCATAGAGGTTAAAGAAAAAACAATTTGATTTGAAGACAACCCCAGTGTTCTTTATGACAGGTACCACCTCATATCTTTCAAGTCTCCAGAGCAAAAATTGTACAAAAGTTTCATTTAACACTAACTATTAATTTTAAAAAATTGTCTCTACCATACTTATTTGCAAAGCATTTTAATATATTTCTTCCCAAATTTTCAGTTTGTTAAATTGTTGCATTTTTGAGAGTTGAGCTATTCCGCAGAAGTGCTAAAGAGACACTGCAGTAACAGTAGAAGTGGTCAATTTTGGCAGTATTATTAGTGTCTTTGGCTAAACTGGTTAGCAGTGAAACATTTGAGTATTGGGACTTCAGCCTTTCTGAACCAGAAATTTTATCTGCTGTCACAGTTGCACCCTAGAACACCCTGATGCTGAGGAGATAAACACTATTACACAGCTTCAACGAACACACAGCAAATCCTGTCCTCACAATAAAAGCAAAACTCAAAGCAAATGAAAAAAACCTCAGCTTGAAACACCCAACTGTTAAAGGTGTCATTTTAATCACAGACATGGTTTCAAGCTGTTCAGCTGTGTAATCCATTAGTTTACGCCTTACAAAAAAGAAATGTCCTTTTTGATGTAGATTTAGAACAACAGAATACCTTGGCTGCAGGTCAGCTACATAGCACCTTTATAGAATCACAAACCATATTTTTGGTTTATAGGAACAGAAACTGGTAACAGCATGAAATGATAAGAAAAGATCAATAACACTATGGAAGACTTGCCAATCAGCCTTATTTTTATAAATTTAAATAACACTGAAAATTTCTACAGCGAAGATTTGAAAAAACTTCTCCTTCTCTGCTAGACAAATGGATAGTAAGAGATAAAAATGTAAAATGGACAGAATTACAAGCTACCAGAAGAGTCTTGTCTCCAACTAAGCATACTTTGAAAGAAACAAAAAATCTCCAAGGTTCTGGCTTTTTTTTTAAATCTGCATTTTTAAAAATGCAGTAAAAGAAACTAAGCTACTTAATACTAACAGTTACTGTAAAATCCCAAATGCTCAATCATTATTGTTAACCTTAAATTAACTATTTATAAGAATTATCTTACAGCTACATTCCAACTAGCCAAGAAACATGGAAGAAAAAAAAAATCTGCTGTTTTGACCTACAGGTGTGTGAAAGAAAATGGGAAGAAAAAAACCACATAGATTCCAACTACAACCACAAGGGAGGAGGACACAAAATTACTTTCTTACAGACCAGAGAAATACAATTGGCTTCTGGATTTTGAAATCCTATAACAGACGTGGATCTTTTTTGTAGGTATGGAGCTAAAATAAATCAATACTTGATAACACAAAGTTTTTATTACCTCCTCAATGGCTCTTTGCCTTCTGTCTTCTGTTTCCTTATCAATTCTAAGTAACAAATGAAAAATAACTCAATTATCAAAGCCATCACATAACTGGGGGTAAAAAGTAATATCCAACCATGTAATCTTTTACAGATGCTTAAGAGAAACATTATAAATAAAATTACACTAAACCCTAAATCTTACATTTTTACTGTTATGTGCAATAATCTCATACTATAAATTTAAAATATAAATGCACTTCTCAGTTACTTCAGTTCATTTGAAAAAAATCTGTACCTTTTATAAGAAGAGATTTGCAATTCTTCTGTTTACTCCTTCTATCATCAACTATATTTATCTGAACAAAAACTCAATCATAATTGATCTTCCAAAATAATCCATTTAGTTATGTTGAACTTGTCATATTAATGCTACCACGAGATTAGGCTTACAAAGAATCTCACTATAAGATCAAGCAGAATAAAAAAACTGAGCTGTAAGGAACAAAATGGCAACAGAAGATAATACAGAATGTTTGCATATTCAAATTCCTGACACAGCCCACTTTTCCCAGCACAGGGTTCCCTCTTACAAATAGCTCATCTGCCATATTTTCTTCAGTTCAGGATACAATTTCATATTTCAGTTTGAATCAATTAACACATTCCCTTATGCAGCTTTTAACCTCACTTAAAAAAATACTGTAGTTACTTCAGCCATCTTCAAATGACACACGAGATTCTACATTTATACTTTCTTTAACGGTCGCCTTCAAGTCTCACTTTCAGTTACCTGTAGGTAGTTTATAAGCTTAAAAAAAATTTACAGCTAACATTCATCATTGTCTTAGCTGAACCACATAATACTTTCATGCATAGTTAGTATACCTGAATTACCCTTGAATAATTTTAGAAATCAGCCAGGTAAAGACATTATTAGCTACACAAACACATGCAGATGTACCCACACATACATTAACTTCCCTTCACAGCCCTCTATCTCTGATGGTAATCAGACTTGGAATAGATCTGCAATACTTCGACAAGCCATCTTCAACTATGTCTGCCTAGATGATGCTAAAGTGACCATTCTATGAAGATACTTGCACAGAATTCAGTTATTGTACAAAAAAAAAAAAGCATACAATCATCATCTATTTATCCAGTGGATCAAGAGTAATAAGCATCTCTACATGCCAGATTCCAAAGGAGAAACAGCAATCTGGGAAAACAGCTCCTAGTTAAGTGCTGGTTAGTACAGAGAAGAATGTTTTTTCTTTAGTGCACAAGTCCAGAAAAATAACAAAGTGAAAACATCTATGTATTTAGCAAAAATAAGAACAAGTCAGTGTTGTGTGCAGCTTCAAGCAACAGAGCACTCGCAACCATGACACACAGTACTCAAGATGCCGTACAGATTTTTTTAATGCTTAACATGTAATAGCATAGCATCCAATTTAGAAACTTTTTATTTCAGGAGAAATAAAAAAGGACGAGGAGAGTTTATGGACGAGACTCTGTCATGTTAGCAAAAATGTAGCTCTGCTCAACTACTGACAGACTTCCTATTTTTCATTAACACAGTCTGCCAGAAAAAAGTCTCATCATTTTATAAGCAGTGCAATAAACACGTAGCACCGAGATGGCACCTAGTTTATGGGAACCGTAATACTGCACAAAATTAAGTCTACACATGATACATACTTACACTTTGCAAAGCACTCTAGCTTTTACACTGTGCTGCTACCCAAACTGTTTTCACTATATAATGAAGAACTAACAGTTTGAAATATTTATACACCAAATTTCTTATGCTTCTTGGTCTTTGCGATTACTTGAGAAAATTACTTGTTAACAAGCATTAATAAGATGGAATATATAGTTTGTGTAACATTATGTATGGGCTTCAAAACTCAATTCATTTATCAGGAACATTTAATGATAAGAGCTGTATTTATGACACTTTAGTTTCTATCAAGCAGCATTTTAAATTAAAATCAGTTGCCATACAAAATCTTATACACATATGCATATATACATACAAATCTATATGCATTTAACCATGCAGTTAGCAGCCACCAGAAATAACCACCTCAGTCTACAGTACACTGAAACGTGCAAGCATGGACACAGCAAATATATACCTAGAAAAATTACCCTCTTTCTAGTCATATCAGATGATTAAAAAAATATAAGTAACAATGGGCATGAAACAGTGGAACACTGAAAGGACCCACTGAGACAGACAATGTATGTTTATATCTATAGGCCATGCCACTAATCATTAGAATTGTCACTCAAACCATCTAAGTTAAAGCTAGTTTCTGTGTGCCCTGATAGGCTTCCAGAAACAGAGTAATCGACACCTTAAAAACATAAGGCTTAACACTTTATAACATACAAAAAGCATTGGAGTCTGAAACCTACTGGCTGCTAGAGGAAGGTCAGGAAACAGATGTTACGAAAAACAGTATCAACATTAAGGCATGGTGATTCACAGATATGACTGAGGACAGTTATATTCTTTCTACATCTTTACTGTAGCAAGAAATTTGTATTCCTTCTTTAGCCCTTCCTGTTCAAAAATAGAGATGTAGATTCAGTCAAACACTAAGGTCTAATTCACAATATAATAATAGAGGTCGTAGATGCCCCATCCCTGGAAACATTCAAGGTCAGGTTGGATGGGGCTCTGAGCAACCTTATCTAGTTGAAGATGTCCCTGCTCACTGCAGAGGGGTTGGACTAGATGTCCCTTTACCCTTTAAATGTCTCTTCCAACCTAAACCATTCTATGAATATTCAGAGGACTCTGTTTAAGAGCAGCCCTCTGTGCTTCACTTCAGTAACGGGACTTCAAAGTGCTATAAACAGGATGCAGGACTGTTTTATTATTCTATTACTGCGGTTCTTCACGCCACGAGGTGTAGTTCTTCAAGCAAGTTTGGATCTGAGATATGTATGAGAGCATCTACAGGATTTCCCACTGCAACCTTCACTTGGCATCTTGTTCTGTACTATTAGCGTGTAAGACCATCCCTCCAGGTGGGAGTTATTTTAAGAGAAAGTAAAAAGTTGAGATCAGGATCCCCAAATTACTTCAAGTAACTAGCATTTTCCATCTCCTCAAAGACAGCAGGCTTATCAGTCTTCCCTCCTTCACACCAAGTCAAAGCTATACCTTTTAAGAAGGGTACTGACTTACCTAGTTGGCTTTCCCAGCTCTACCTCTCTGCAGGAGTCATAAAAAGACCAAAGACACCTACGCCTCATAGATCTCAGTATAGAACATTGAGAAGATAAATTGTGTTGTGACAAGGAGCAGGAGAGGTAGCTTGGTAACAACCACTGGCAAGGCATTTCCCTGCTTGTGTTGACTGCCTTTCTCTGGCTGTCTTCCAAAATTCAGTCAGAGTGGATCAGTAGTTCTTAATATTAAAAAAGAGTGACACAAAGGCAGCCTCATCCAAGTATTATATCCACAGCAGGGACATATAAAAATCTATGATAATTGATTTGAATAAAAAGTCTTTAATGCAGTGTTGAAACGTCAATAAAGCAAAAGAACAGTGCTCTAGTATTCAAGCCAAGTTAATCGCATAAAAACAGATGGAAAGTTACCTAGCGTGACTCAAATACATTGCTTGGCGTCGAACATCTTCCGAGTCAATTTCCATGGGATTTATTAGAGCAAGTTGATCAATAGACCATCTAAATTTTCCTGGTGTCTAAAAAAAAAATGAAAGGACATCTTAATGCTTGCTAGTCTAAAAAGATAAAAATAAAACCACAGGACAAATCTCAATGAAACAATGCAATCGTAACTTCCGTGTAGTTTCTGTCAAAGACAAGCAAAAGAGTTTCTATTTAAGTGATCTACTTAAAAAAAATTAGTAAGTCAATCAGGTTTTTTTATCCTGGCAGTGGTATAACAATGGTTTACAAGATAATAGGAAGTGGAAGGTTATAGCTAATATTTACAAACCGAGATGTCTATTTGTTCCTAATTTTTGAGGACAGATCTAATAAAGATATAGAACATGGGATAAATTTCAGTTGCTTCTAGATTGCCATAATCGAAATTGTGGTTCCATGAAAACCGAGTGTTTGTATCAGGTTAGATAACTTGGATTATAGTTATCCAAATAATAGAGCAGCCTTCCTTTAACTTCAGATTTCCAAGAAGATTTAGGAGTTGCAACCCCATACACACCCTGCAAAGTCTACCTCATAACATCTGGCATAATTAACAACAAAACCTAATTCAGATGTGAAGCAGCTTTACCCCTTTATTTATCAAATACAAAATACTGTTCAAATATCTGTTTGAAAAATGAATCAATGAATCTTTTTAGTTTCCTAAGCCAAGCATCATCTCTGCATATCAGACATTTCCAACTGCAAACCGGAATGCAATTTGCAACTAAAAAATGTTATATACGCATAAAATAAAATAAAATAAAATAAAATAA